GCGCTGTGGTGGCGGTAGCAGTATCATACCTGTAATCTCTCCTCTTCCAATGACATGCATTTTTCCATGCGGTTACATCTCTTTCGCTAAACAGACTAAATAAATTATCGTCCCGACGATCGGACATAAGCCTGCACCTGTCTCGCCCGAGGAACGCCCTCGGTAAGAAAATGCAAAGCGCGCGCAAAGAAAGTCACGTTAGCTCCGTGAAACACAACGGCAGCAGCGATGTAAATCTCTCGAAACGAAGTGGATTAACCGAAGCGCAGTATGAGATTTGCTTAATCTGCGAGCGTTTTATCTAGAGTCGTGTGCGCGTTGACTTATAAGTCAACTTGGCTCGAGTTTGCAATTGTTCAATCTCAGCTAAAAGTTTGTTTACTATAAAAAATCGTTTCCACATGTCAGATTTCGTACGCAAACGTTTACATCTCGCTATAATCTATTCCAAGGCAGACAGCAAGATAAAAGTGCATTCCCGGGGCAGTGCTATTTGGATGCAAAAATCGAATCAGACGGAATATGTTGGCCTTGGGGATGCATAACGAGGCGAGGAGCCAGAGCCGGTTTTCGGCGCAAACACGCGCGCTTCGCGGCGGATCTATCTTTGTTAAGTATCGCGCGTGTATAATACACCCGGACTCTCGGTTGATTAAACGCGCCATTAGCGCAAACATTAACGTCGCAAACAAAGGTGATTCTCGCGGTCGCGCGCGGGCCCATACGAAATGCCTCGTGATTTTATCGCGCTCTGTAATCGCTTATAATCTGGAGAAATTTCCAACTGTCGCCCGCGCGAACTTGTTAAGCTGTTAATTTGATGCACCGTCGTCGGTAGCGAGCATTTTTCACAGCGGTTTCATTGCACGAGCTGCCGCTCGAAAATTTTCTACGCGTTTAAAAACGAATAATACCCATAATAATGCTGCGAGAGAGAGAGAGAGAGAGAGAGAGAGAGAGAGAGAGAGAGAGAGAGAGAGAGAGAGAGAGAGATTTACGCTCGCAATAACAATAGAAATCATCATCTATTCACGTCAATTTCGATGAATCGAATTAATAATCCGTTTGATTGACGGCTCTTCATTATCTACCGTCGTAATTACTGCTATACGGGACATCTTCGCCAAACTGCGTTCGCTTTTAACGCGCGATACAGTAAGATTTTAAATATCGCAAGCGAGGAAAGGAGAAAAGGGATAAAAGAGTATGAGATGAGATGGAGGAGGTGGCTCTCCCTGTACTTGTCATCAGATTTTTTTGGGATCGGCTGACAGATTCAAGACGGACGCCCAATCCGATCAGTATGACGAGACGTAATGTCGCCATCAATCGTATGCAGCTGCGTTCGTTATGTGCACACGTATATCCCACGGAACTACACCAATACTTTGCCGCAATTACTGTAATTGCCTTATATCGAAACTGTCGCTGCACGTTGAATCGATCGAATCGGCAAGCATTCCAATTAAGCCACCGACCGACGACGATTGGATACCAAATTCTCATCGCTGTGCGTGCATGCGTGTGTATGTGCGTGCGTGCGTGCGTATGTGAGCATGTGTATATAAATACCGGATAATTTATTAAATTTAAAAACAAAAACACAAGAGTCGAACGACTTGGTCCGTGGGAATAAATTTGGAATAAATTCCCGAGACACTACATTACTCGTGAAACTACCATTCCCAGTCGAAGAATATTGAAGAGAGAAAATTTTTATATTATAAAGATCCGTTTAAACCGGGACCGGATAAATAATTTAGCGCGTGTATCTTCGTCTTGAATTTTCGTCTCGTTTTCTCTTCTTGGTCTCGCAAATGGAGCGACTCGTCGACTCGCTTTTTCGACACTTGGCTCGGAGGAAAAATTATAGTTATGCCACCGTCGACCGTACCTCGCATTCTCGCGGGTCAACCGACCCCACTAGAATCCAAATGCGCGATAATTCGAGGAGAATGCGGGTAATATCTGACGATACTCGTCACTCCTTCCGCCGGAGGATATCTGTTTTTGTCAGCTACACGCTGGCCCAGCCGTAAGAAGTGGAATTTTGCCAGCATGCTCGATGCCGCGCGAAAACGTCGGCGCGCAGGGACGGATCTACGCGCGAAAACTCGAGAGCCTTTCGTACATAATTAATACAATTCCTGCTAATTTCCCGGAGATATCCGCGACTGACAAGCGCGCACTTTGCACTTCCAACGTCACTGCCGTCTGTCGCTTTCCTGCCGGGGACTGCCGGGAATCACATTAGACGCCGCGAAAGGTCGCCGTGTCCGCTCCTGGCGAAACTTCTATTTCATTCTGCAGTCAATGGCAGTCGCGCGGTGCCGCGCTCACAACGTACTCGCGTACGTGGTTTCCCTTTTTGTCAAGTATCGCATTAAGCCTGCCTAATGTCACTCGAAGAAAGAACTCAGGATGAAAGGCAGGGGTGCAGGCAGCGCGCAGGAGACGCCAACGGAGGTAGAGGGTGGCGAAGGAAAGTAAAAAACGAGCGGGCCCGATAGATCGATCCGTCGGAAATTTCTCAGGGGAACAACACCCGTGTGCGCGTGAGCGCTGTGAGCCGCAGGCCGTTCAAGCGGTATCCTACATCCATCACGCAGAATTTGCACATTCGTGCTGGACAACTAGATTTACTGGCGAAATATTCATCCGGCAGCGGTGGCGGCGACGGAGGAGGAGAGGGTACGGAGGGGACGTAATCATGAAGGAATCTACAGGATTTATTAATGCGTGTGTAAACTGAAAATGATTTACAGAAAACGTAACGGATCTATAATGTGTACATATTCGTGGGAATATTTGTGTGCACCGCGAGGTGTACCAATTTTGCATTAATATTCATTTTTATCATCCCCGCGAAAATGCGGAAGCCCCCGCCGTGATCATTATCGCAATGAATTGTCGCGATAGATCAATTTCCGCGTAAAAGCGCGCACTTACGCGCAATTAACGCGCAAAAATGGCCGTGATAATTAACAATATAGGCAAAGTATTAAAATACAACTGACACGATATATATATATATATATATATATATATATATATATATATGTGTGTGTGTGTGTGTGTATGTGTGTACACACATATACACGTTCATATTTCGCACATTGAATTGAAATGTAAATAATTAATCGTCACTATTTATTAACGTGGTAATGCAAAGTGAGCGGATAAATTTGTAATGTATTATTAATCTTTTACGCCACGAAAATTTGTGCTTTTAGTACAGCGATCGATGCGCGACGTGCGTTTTGCAAATCCCGCGAAAATTAACAATTTAATTCGCGACGTATCCGCGCTCGCGAATAGGAATTAATATCAGTCGCACGGAGAATCGATCTCTACAATCGTATGCAATTCGGTCGTTTCCTTTTTCCACGACTCGTCAAAGAGAGAGAGAGAGAGAGAGAGAGAGAGAGAGGGCGTGGGAGGAGAAAGGGACAGAAGAGAGAAAAAAATCGCCTTTACGGCTCATCTGTACGGCTTGGTTTTTCCAGACTGCACGGCTTGCGCGCTTTGCGACTCGCGTTACTGCGTTTCTTGCATGCGACAGGGGAATAAATTGACTGAAATTGACACCCACACCTACCGTGCGTCAACGCGAATTGACGACGGTCGAATTGGATAATCGGTGGAAACGCCACGATCGCGGCATCGACATGCCCTTGTCCTCGTCCCCGTATCGTATTCGCTTTCGCCCTGGTTCCTCTGTCTGTACATTTTTTTTATCGGCCATTTCTAATCACGGGTTATTCGACTGTACCAGCGCCATGATCGCGCGACGCTAATGAACCGTTTTATTCCTTTGTCTCGAAAATAATTTGTCGTGTGATTTCTATGTCCCACGGGTATTGTGCAAGCGGCAAAAAAGCGAAACTCGTGAGTTTACGTAATAACTACTCTAGTTGGAGGACAAAGGGCTAAGCTGCGCAAAAATGTGTGTTTTTTCTTTATTTTGGGGAACTGCAGCATCGAAATTTGAGGTCGATATTATGTACGGGGTGACACTTATTACGCGCGTTACATTTTATATCGAATTTAGATATTTCCTAATACTGTGTGTATCGAACACGATATACCGTACTCTTTTGAACAATGGCCAGTAATATTCATTAGAAATCCTTCATGAGCACACGTTATCTGGATAGGGTTATGTATGAGGTAATTAATGGTTATTCCGCGCCTAATTGCCCGAGCGATTATGACTTTTCCGCGCGCTCACACACATCGTTGTGCCGCACTGCCGCACGCGGTGAAGTTTTTAATAGCACTGTTCCAAATAAATCGCGGAATACGTCCGCGCGACTTATTGTCATTATACCTATTAATAAAACGTACAGAAGAGCGCACCCAACTCAACATTAAAAAATACAAATATGTGATCTAAAGTGGCTTTTTAAATAAAAAAGTGAAATAATATTACAGCTCTAAAATGACTACGTTTACGTTAACGGTCATTGGAAATTACCGAAATTGGCCGCACGGAAGAAAAGTTCAGTGAAATTTCTGGTGAAATATTCCGAAAACTTTGCGGTCCAAGTTACCAGAATTCTGTTCAAGCTAGCCAGAAATCTCGATAATTTAGGACTGTATTAATAAATAGTTGTTACTTGAAACTTGTCTGATACCATGTCTAGGTATAGCTTCCGGAATTGTATCAATGGCCGTGAAAGCCTCAAATCTTGTCTGATACCAGATTGCAGATTGTTTTTATTCAGAGTTGGATTCAAGTTTTATAATTGAAAATCCCTATGATATATGTGACATTATATTTGTAATCGTGATTCCGGTAAACTTTTATCTGACTCTGTACTCAAATATCTGAGTGTCTCATTTGAGGGGAGTAACGATTATTAATGCGGGCTTTAGATTGAATTCTGATCACTCCAACTGGAATATCTGCTTCATTCCATTTAAAAATTGTTTGATCCAACCAAAAGTTTTTGCGCGCGCAAAAAGTCGTCGTTTGCTCAGTTGTTATTAGTAATCGTGCTCTCGCATAAGAACCGATTGAAGAACTAGACGCGTTTAAGAAAAAGGAAAAGTGTATCGTGCAATGAAGATAATCATTTCTGTTACAGGTGGGCGACGCGACTCATTCGAGGACTCATCCGATCTTGAGGACTCTTTCTTTGTCATGCCGAACTTCTTCGGTATGTGATATCCTGTATAGTCGAACTAAGCTAAACAGTGAAGCTGTAATAAAGCTTTGATTCCTGATCTGGAAGTCTGCTTTTTCAGCTGCACTGTGCGTTATGCTCGTCGCACTTGATAAAATGATATTAATGTAAAATACATTGGAAATTTATTATATCGATACACACACGTCGCTCTCTCGCTGCATGTTTAACGCCAACCGTGTTATAACCATACGGTTATCAGTTTGAGTCATCCAATGTAAAGATTTCAAGCAAATGCGTGGTGAACATTGAAATGACATTTTAACGCCACATACGCGGTACGTGTGGGCCCCATAAATACAGGCATCGAAATTAGACGGTCGTGTTAAATCAAGCGCTTAAGTACAGCCGCGCATACAAACCCGTTATTTTCATTAGCGTTTCTGTATTTCCGCGCTCTAACGCGAATCCACTAACGCGGAATATGAGTGTACGTATTGCCTCTGACAGGTGGATCATAGAGGCGTGCGCAAACATCGCGCACGCATCGCGCGGCCGGAAATGCATGCGCATCCACGATTGCATCGCGCGTCAGGCTCGTATTCCGCTTACATGCGGTTTGTCTGTGCGTAACTTCCGTCACTCTGCGCCTATGCGGACATTTGCTATTGTTTATGGTGTAGCAATTATCGCGTTCTATCATTCACCCCGGGAGAGCCTTGGTCAGAGAAGTCTGTCTTTGACCTATTAATCGATGATCGCTCAGTATCGTCCAGAAGTCGATTGTTTATGCCCCGCTTGCTTTCGAATTGCCCCAGTCGATGAGAGCGGCATTTGTGAGATTTCAAGCAAAAGTACACCCAAAAAGATGTAGTCTTTATTTTTAGTAGAATACCTTTACACACACACACACACACACACACACACACACACACACACACACACACACACACACACACACACATGTGATCTCTCAAGAGGAAACCTTTTCTAAAATCAAAGAGAAAGTATTCCAAGTACGATATTCTTAATGCCACGGAGAAATTTTATCTTTTGTCTACATTACACGTCTTAATAGAAATCTTTTCTATTAAGAAGGCATTCTATTTCAAGTAAACATGTTTCTTTTGATTTCTCAAGGAGAAAAAAATGGAATAATATCTTTATACAGAGAAATGTATCATTTTGTCGCAACTAAAAAGTTGACTGTATGCAGTATGCATTTTTGTTTTAATTTAATATTCTTGATTGAAACGCTAAATTCACTAGGCTCACTTCAGCATGTGTTTTGAGCAAACTCGTGACGAACTTGTGATAGATTTTATTGTTTTGGTTTTTAAATATGCAAATATTTAGGGCGGTGTATTCATAGTCAGATTTTATATTTGAGATCGTCTCATCATCTTTATATTATTTTATCGGTTTATCTGAAGACGAGCTTAATTTACAATGTTAAATATAAGATTGAAACAAAGTACATATATACACTCAATATACGTGTGTATATATTTTATCTTGAGAATTTAAATATTGCTGTTTGTAAACAATAAAAATGTCAGGTACGTGTATTGGTGCTTATTGTCGGATTTTATTATGTTAAATACTAATACAGTGTTTTTTCGAAATAATAATACAGTTAATATAAACAGCGTTCTGTCGTTTAAAATTTGTGCGACGTTTGAAATGGAATTAATATTTTCCCAAAATTAACTCTTCACCTTTGCGTCAAGTTCTGTGTTTAATAATTAATCGTGCGTAAAGCTCGCGCGTGTACAATTTACGAAGTAGCGTGACTTTTAGAGGGAAAAAGAACCTCGTATGTTTGAGTAATAAATTAGCCGAGTAACAATTGGATTATACGCGTTATTTCTGTTTTGCGAGTACATATGCGATGTGTGTCATCGTGTTTAATACATAAAAAAAATGTAATGTTTCTTTCTTTTCTGATGGGCAATCGAGCTTTGCTGATGCATAGTGCCGGCATCGATGTATTATGCGTATATTCCCTTGGTTATCGCATGGCTTTACGGAAGTCAACTTCCGCTCTTCTGATCAGATATACTACCTGCATTCATATACAGATTCATATACAGATATTCCAACATTGGATGTTCTTTCGAGCGGTTGAACGGTCCTCGATTGATTCGTATAGAGATCGCTTCTTCTCAACGAAAATTACTCGCATTATGTAATTGTCAGTCGTTGTCTTTTCGTTTGTTCAACATTGCATTATCTCTGCAACTAAGCTCAAGCCTTTACAAAGAGATAAAGCCCGCTTAAAGTTAACCAGAAAAAAAATTACTTGAGTTGAATAAAGATATAATGTATTAAAAGTTGATGTTATACGTAATTGACATAGTTTTCATAGCCGTACTCCTTATGATATGTGATGTTCAATTAATACATCCTCGTATATATTTAGGTTTCAACTGAAATATTACTGTCCTTCTAATCTGCAGAAGGAATACTATACTGAGAGAAAATACACTTAAAAAAAATTTATTCGGTGGGTACCAATATCATATTTACTTATACTAATATGCATAATTTTATACAGTGAAAAAAGTTTTTCTTTAAAACGTGCATTTTTTTAAAACCGTTGTTTTAAAAGTAAGCAATTGTTTATTTAAGAATGCAGTTTTAATGCTTGTAAATACTAGCTTAAACTACCCGAGTTTCTTAGAATTTAAAATTAAATTATTATTCAAAGTGTCAAGGAGATAAAATCTGAGCGAAGTGGAGAGTGTCCAGATTTCTCGTGTAGTCTAGTACCTGTGGAACTATACGGTCCAGATCGATCAAAAGATTTAGGAGTTGATAGGAAACGCACACACACATACATACAGAGAGAGAGAGAGAGAGAGAGAGAGAGAGAGAGAGAGAGAGAGAGAGACGGATATTCTATTTATATACATAGTATGTTACTAGTAGTCACACACCGCGTGCGAATAAACATTTCTTATTTTTTAAATATTTCTTCTCTACAGCTAAGAGTTTTGTAGGGTTTAGTTGTACCATACAGCACTGAATACTATTTTCAGAATATTATGGTTTCCTCTTGTGCGTAAAATAACATTAATATTTTATTACAGTATTATATTCAGCTATATTCACAGTGTTTTCCTCGTAAGAAAGTATGATTTTATTATTGATCTTGTTTGCAATCTCTCTTCCTCTCTCTCTTAAAGCGTGACTGTGTGCGGAAGCCCTTCGTTTAGTTAGTCGTCAATTATTCGAAAACTATGGACGCTTTTGCACGCTGAGTCCGCGCGGTAAAAACACATCCGGCGGTTTTGGCACATCCGCGTCACTGTATGCGATGCAGCCGCATAATGTCTCGCGGATAATGACTCACGTATTCGTGTGTAGGCGTGTGCGTGCCAGCCGTCACTCTCGTTACGTAACATTTCGAGTTGGATCTATCACCGAAACGATATCGCTATTTGCGATATCATGATGATCCTATAAGTGAATTCGCACGCGATACCAGAATTCCAAGTGTCAAAACGAGCACGCGTTATCGAAACTTTCGGTCGGATGTTTATCCGGCCGGATCGCAGACACAGCTATTCGAATTAAAATCCCAAAGATCCGAAACTCGCGAAACATATGAAATTTTAATTACACTCTTTCAAGAGAGAAAGAGGCGAAATAATCGTTAGTAAAAATAAGGACGCGCTATACACGTATCTAAAAACAAAAGTCGGCATATAAATATACTCTTCCTCACAGATAAGAATATATATTATATATAATTTAAAATCAAATATAAAATACTAGAAATAATTGAATGTCTGAAAAGGGAAAAGCCAAATATTAAAGTCCCGTCTCGTCTCCCTTTGTTTCCGGCAGACTGCCCGAATAAATGCAAGAAAGAAATATGAGCCGCGCCATCGCCCCCGCGATATATCCGCAATATAATTGACCGTAGTTATGCAACAACGATCTAACCCACATAAAGTACGTTTCGAGATGAAAATGGAGATGAAAATTTGGTACACGATTTCAAAGGTAGGCAGCACTGAGGTTCTTTATGCAATTCTTCAATAAGTCAAGGCATAGCCAATCTCCTCCTACTCTGTAAGAGTACTCATTGCAATTCTTAAAAAAATAAATGGGTAAAAGAGACGCAACTGAGAAAAAAGCCAGGATTTGACATAGAAAGACGTATGAGCTACCAGTTGGTAACACAATAATCATAATTTTATGAATTTTGGATCATTCTTAAATAATGACCAATTACATATGCGCAAAAAAAGAAGAAAAAACTCGCAGAGTCACAATTGCAGGCCGCCTAGTGCGTAAAATTTGTTTGTCTTTTGGGACAAGTTTTTCTCCAATCGAAATCTACCAGATGTGCATGGTCGAGTAAATAAAGCAGCGCGAAAAAGCCGTCCACGTTGGATGTATATTTTCGTGCCTTTTTATCGACTAATATTTAACAAAATTTTCGTTAAATATTTTTATGCGTGTCGCGTGCGCGACGCTCGTTCTATAAATATTTATAGAGTGCAAACAATATGCGTCAGAACGTCGAATATGCATCCGAATAAGCAAAAATTTCACATGGGAATCGGCTGAATGGTACCGCGACCTGAAAAATTCGCGCAATCCCTCGAAATTGTTGCAACTTGGACGCAATTTCCTTAATGCATATATAAATGCTACACGCTTATCGTTCGCGCGTAGTGCGCAAGCTTGCGCTTTGCAGGGTTACGTCCGTCGCGTCGCGTTAATCGATATAATTACAGAATCGCATCGATGAGAAAAGAAAAGTTGGCGGCATTGTAATGAAAGCAATTACCAGAATATATCGTTCTAATTAGCTGGGTCGCGATTACCAACTCTGGCGTCGCCAGAACTACGGATTTCCTTTTCGCGACGGATCGACCTGTCGGCGGTATAAAACCCGGCAAATTCCCATCCGATAAAACGTTTCAATATTTTGAAACGTAAGCGTCATTCGCACAATTTCAAGAAATTGAAGCGTTCGAATTATCTCCCTCGCCAGTATAAGTCGTGTAAATTCAATT